CCCCCCCCCCCCGGCCTCGCAATTGGCTGCGCGGCATTCATTTGGGGGCTGCTGCTGCGCCTGGATTGCGCTGTCCTCCCATAAAAGGGCGACGGCGCCCGCCCCCCCGCCGCTCCTCGCCATCCGCGCCCCCCACCCAGGATCGGCCCCTCTGCGGCATCCGACGCCCGCCTCGTGCACCATGAGCTACAGCAGCGACTTGCGCTTCTCAGCCTCATCCTACAGCAAGAGGACCATGGGGGAGTCCTCGTCGTCGAGGCTCTCCTCGGGCGGCCGGAGCCTCCTGCACGGGGCCGGGCGAGCTGGGGCGCCGTCGCTGCTGGGGGCCCCCCATCACACTGCCCGCGGCGGCGGCACCCGCTCGTCCTACTCGTCGTCGTTCCGGAGGCTGCCGGCCCCTAGCAGCTCGCTGGACCACCTGGAGGTGCTGCTGTCGTCGTCGGCGGCGGCGGCGCCGTCGAGCGCGCTGAGCAACGAGCTGAAGATCGTGCGCACCAACGAGAAGGAGCAGCTGCAGGGCCTCAACGACCGCTTCGTCACCTACATCGAGAAGGTGCACCAGCTGGAGCAGCACAACCGGCTGCTGGAGGGCGAGGTGGCGGCGCTGCGGCAGCGCCAGGCCGAGCCGTCGCGCCTCCAGCAGCTCTACGAGCAGGAGATCCGCGAGCTGCGCTCCAAGGTGGAGGCGCTGCGCCACGACGGCGACCAAGCGGCCCTGGAGAGCCAGCAGCTGGCCCGCGCCCTCCAGCGCCTGCGCGACGAGGCGGCCCACGAGGCCCAGCGCCGCGAGGAGGCCGAGGTGGCGCTGCGCGACGCCCGCAAGGAAGCCGACCGGGCCGCCCTCGCCCGCCTCGACCTGGAGAAGAAGGTCGAGGCCCTCCTCGACGAGATCGCCTTCCTCCGCCACGTCCACGACGAGGAGGTGGCCGAGCTGCAGGCCGAGCTCCAGGAGGCGCAGGTAGGCAGGGAGGGCCGGGGTGTGAGGCGCTGATCCAGCGCGGGGAGTGGGGAAGGCGCTTGTCACTGTCAGAAGTGCTCGCCCCGTGAAAATGACCGGCAGCATTCTTGGGGCGGACAAAGTGAAGCGCTTCTTCACACAGTTCTGTGGAACTCCCCGCTACAAGGTGTGATGGACACAGTAGCATTGATTAGACAAATCCGTGGGGGTGGTGGAGAGATGGTCAGAGAAGACCTATTGCAGTGCAATCCTGTGCAGAGCTATGCCTCTCTAACCCCCTTGAAGTCAATGAGTGTGGACTGCAGTAACTACATAGGATTGCACTCACAGCTTTGCGAGGCAGCTGGAAACACCAAGCTGACCTAGATAGATGGGCAGGCTGAGCTTGGCACTGCTTATGCTCCTGGAGCCTGGGCACTGCTCTATTGTATTTCCTTTCCTGCCCCCTTTTATCTCAGGGATGTGAAAGAAGCATTGTTTAGCAGGTGCGGTTTCTCTTGCCCCTTATATGACCCGCCCTGCTTTGGAGGTTATAGCCAGGCTCTCTGATGGCTTTTGTTGTTCATGACAGCAGAGCAGTGAAAAATCCAAAGTGTTCCAGGAAAAGCATCCTTTTCACCTCCGGGATATTGTTGGGAGGTACTGAATAAACAATCCAAGTAACAGTCTTTTGGAAGCAAAAAATATCATTATGGGGGGTACCAGTGGAGAGGTGTACAATTCAAAGGTATGCCCCCGTGATCCATAGGGCCCAACACTCAGATTCTGCATTGTCGCTATTTGAGTGGCATACAGTGATAATCTAACCAAGTGTCACACCCTTCCAAGCCCATAGGCCTCAGTAGACTAAGGACGAGTCAGCTATTTGGGATGGCATTGTTCATGCCTTTGCCAGCTTTGAGGGGTTAGCATGCCCATGTCCATGTACTCCAGGACTTGAATGTGCTAAACTGGCACACTGAATCCTCCACATTGGAGCTGTCTGGATGTGCCTTAAGAGAACTTCCCGAAGTCCTTTGTCCTGGGAAGTCAGGATTCCTGGTGCTTATTTTTCTATCCTCCAGGTTTTCTCACTCTTTGACACCCTTTGCTTGGAGCTGACCCACATGTGGGCTTTACAATTCCTCTTTTCACCATCAGAAATCTTTATCCTTCAAACACTGAGTGGGATTTTATAGTTGCCTGAAATGTGGTCCTTTATATGTAAAATAGTTGCAGGGCTGGTCCAGCAATCCAGGCCACTATCTAAGGTCCCAGAATTGAAGGGGGTGGGGGGAGAAGGGTACCTGCCTTGGCTGTTTACATGACTCGGACAGAGAGATGCTACCTGCCCCTCTAGAGGAGATACTCAGAGGCACCTCAGCAGCTTGTCGGCTGATGGATAGGATGTGCTCTTGGGGACACCAGAGAGAGGTTTCTGGTCTCTGTCAGGTGCCCTTGGCAATGATACTGTTATAAAAGACAGGAAGTGACAGATGTCAAATAAAAGACAAGGAGAAAAGGGTTTCCTGGTCAACTCCTGATCAATTAATGTGCGCTGCTTATGATTAGACAGGCAAGAGAGGGGGAAACAGCATTTTAATGCCCTCTGGAGTCAGCCTTGAGTTGTTCAAGCTGTCTTTGTTGTGCATTGAGGCTGCTTTTATGGACCAGCACATCAGTGGCCTTGGAGAGGCACGATCAAGGTCTCTATTGGCGTGTGAGGAAAATGCAGGCAGAGCCTTCGGTGGGTTGTGCATGGTGGCCTGGCCTCGTGCAGCTGAGAAGAGGTGGCTGCCGGTGCCTTGCGGAGACTCCCCCCCCCTTCTTCTATGCCCATTAAAATGGAATGTGACCTTGCTTTTCTTTTCAGAGGGAGAAGAGGCAAAGAGCAGTTGCCCAGTGCTTTGGGAGCCCCTGTGTGTTGCTCCAGCCATGTGGCTCTGCAGCTCCTTTTGTTCTGCTGCTCTGAACCCTCTGTCTGCTTTGCAGCACTCCTGCTTGTGGCATCTCCCCACAAGAAGAGCTGGCACCCGTCTTTTTCTTTTCCTTGAAAGGGCTGATAGTGCCAGAGTGCTACCCTGTGTGTCTGAAGCAGCAGGCTTTCCGGCTGCCATTGCGCTTTTAAAGGTCTCCACCTTTTAAGGCCAAACAAGATAGTAGTGGGGGATGCCGTAAAGGTCTGCCCCATCAAAAACGTTCCACATGGTTGCGGAGCAGGACTTGAGTTTTGGCTGCAAAATCTGTGGGCAGTTATGGAGGCCTGGACTCCCTCCCACCTTGCCCAGCTGCATTTTTCTCTCAGACTGCCCTTGAGTGAGCGAGGCAGGGAACGAAATGCTCCAGCCAGGTGAGCACAGTAAGGCAAAGTGAGAAGTGATGTAAAAATCACACACACACACAACCTGTGTCTTTTGTGAGACATGAATGGGACAGAGCTGTGGATAAATGGACCTGGCTGTGCCCATTATATCTGGTTTGGTTCTTAGGGATGCACGTGCTCCATTCTGTTTAAAGAGATGGGTCCTGATTCCTTGGATCCAACTTGGGTTCCCCACAGCAGCTGCAGGGAATGGCTTCTTTTAAAAGCTTGGAATGCTGACAGGGGGGTGGGGGGGAAGGGCCTCTGATCCCCCTCCCCCAGCCATTTTCCCATGCAAAAACAGCTGGGGAGGTATTTCTCCATTTTGGCTACTCCACATGGAGTATTCGGTGTACTTGGAGCAGCAAAAACATGGGAAAAACACATACCCCAGCATATTCCTGCCAATCCTCTAATGTGATTTATGCCATCACATGTCAGCACTGCAGTGCCATTGCACCCTCTACATTGGACAAACAGGCCAGTCCCTTTGACAAAGAATTAGTAGACATAAGTCTGACATTAGGAACCACAACATTAAAAAAAAACAGTGGGGGAACATATTAACCTTCCAGGACATTCAGTAGCAGTTCTCTTACAAAGGAATTTCAAAGGGAGATTAGAAAGAGAGACTGCTGAATTGCAACTGATAATGAAGCTCAAGACAATGCATCCACCTGGATTGAATTAAGATTTAGGTTTCCTGTCTCATTACCACCGCTGATTTCTCCGCGCCTATTACCCCTCTGCATATCTCTCCTAAATCCAATCACGCCTGTTATTGTCATTTGCCTGCTAATGTCATTTGGCATCTGAAATCTCTCCACTTTCCAATAAATAGGACAGATGGACTCCCATTCTAGCTGCAACTGAAGAAGTGAGTAGTGGCTCACAAAAGCTCATATCCTGCCCCATATTTTGTTAGTCTTTAAGGACTTTTGCTCTTTTCTACTACATACCCCAGCAGTTTCTATTTGGGGGAAATGACGGGGGGGGGGGGGGGGGGGGGGTT